GATGAGGGTTGGGATAAGGGAAGAAGAGAGGACCACCATCTCAAGGTTTCAAAGTGGTCTTAACCTTGAAATAAGAGACAAAGTTGAACTCTTACCATATAGAGATTTGAATGAGCTTGTTCAACTTTGTTCTAGAGTGGAACATCAACTTAAGAGAAAAACTTTTAGAAAAGTCTCCACTCTCTCTTATTCCATGAGTTTCAAGAAGGAAGACCCCTCTTCCAAACCTTTTCCTAATGAAAAAGAAAAAGAAAAAGAAAAAGAAAAAGAAAAAGATAAAACCTCTAATAGGACATCTTCCAAGGAAACTAAGACAAGTGATGTCAAGTGCTTTAAGTGTCTTGGTCGAGGGCACATTACCTCTCAATGCCCAACAAGAAAACCATGATTTTAAGGGGCCAAGACCACTTTAGTAGCCTTGATGAAGCTACTTCTTCTTCTTCAAGTGATGAGGAAGAACTCTTAGAGTCCAAGGAAGAAACTTACCCTTGTGAAGGAGACTTGTTAATGGTTAGAAGGCTTCTTGGAAACAAATCTAGTGATCTAGATTAATCCGAAAGAGAGAACTTGTTTCATACAAGGTGCAAGGTTTTGGAAAACACTTGTTCTCTCATTGTGGATAGTGGATCTAGTTGCGATTGTTGTAGCATTAGATTAGTGGATAAGTTAGCCTTAACTACTATACCTCATCCAAAACCCTACAAATTACAATGGGTAAATGTGACACCCTTACTACCCCAACACATATATTGTAATAATAAAACTAACAAATAAATTTTTCAACATTGGTAAAAGGGTTCACATAAAAACCTTCACAAATGTTCTTTAATACCCAAAATGATTGAAAATAAAACTTGGAAAGTAAAACTTAAGAGTTTACAAATTATTTTTAAAATAATAGATACAACTCCAAATTTATATAAAAAAAACCCATGTCCTAGAAATCCTCTGACCCGATGTCACAATATCAGAGCATACTCATAATTCAATTGTTGGCATTCTAGATGCCACTCAAAGCCAGATCTTCCTCACCTAAAACATCCACAAATTGTACGGTGAGAAAAGAAAATATATATATGTAAAACACATAAGGAAAACACAACATAATCTCATCATTATTCATTACTTAATGAAATATTCACAAGCATTTATATATATATATCATAATTAACAATCATTTATCACCTTCACATCTCAATCCACAATTTCATCAATCCATCACAATCCAGACAAATCTTACAATTAACACTATGCCAAGGCCACGCCACAACTGACATAAGTGATATGGGTTAATTGCCTCACTCATCCCACACCACGCCAGGGTCACGCCCTCCCTGTAGCATCACTTACCTAGGGGCCGTGCCATCCCTGGTCATTGATGTGAGGAACCACAATCACATCACAATCCACACAATCTCTTGCAATTAACCCTATGTCAGGGCTGCCATATTTGACATAAGTGATACGTGTCAATTGTCTCACTCATCCCACACCATG